TTTTTTTTTTTTCGGCAGCACGGTGGCGCAACTGGTAGAGCTGCTGCATCTCAGCGAGCAGGTCCCTGGTTCAAACCCCGGTCCAGGGGCCTTTCTGGGTGGAGTTTGCATGTTCTCTCCGTGCATGCGTGGGTTTTCTCCGGGTACTCCGGTTTCCTCCCACAGACCAAAAACATGCATGTTAGGCTGATTGGTAACTCTAAATTGTCCCTAGGTGTGAGTGAGAGAGTGAATGGTTGTTTGTCTCTATGTGTCCCTGTGATGGACTTGCGACCCGTCCAGGGTGTCCCCCGCCCCTCGCACAGTGATTGCTGGACATGGGCACCAGCGACCCCCGTGACCCAAAATGGAATAAGCGGGTAAAGATGATGGATGGATATATTTTTTTCTCTTTAATTTTACTCTCATCGATTGTTGTTGTTAAGCACTTTGATAACAGGTTCTGTTTTACATGTGCTCTATAAATAAAGTTGACTTGACTGAAAAAGCAGTTTTTCTTTCCACTGTCGCCAGCATGCTGATCAAATTGGGAGATTGCAATGAAGGTGAGATTCAGCGCACAATGCTGATTACCTTATAACTTGTACTGATTGTTATTTTATATTGTATGTGAATGCTTTTGTGGAGTGCTCTGGCATGGCGTTTGCTGTGAACTAGTGTTATACTGTATAAAAAACTACACTGCATTGAACATGACCAGCTTCCCTGTAAGATAGGTCTGATAAAAGTTTTAAGCCCTCCACAGCCGTAGAGGTTGCACAGAAATGCATGAATGAATAAATTTATAGAATGCAAAGTGAAACAAAAAAGGAACAACTTGAATTAAATCAATGGTGCGAACATCCATTACAGTCAAATCAACTTCAATAGGTACACTGGAACAAAGTCAAGGATTTATAGGAATATAATCAGGTGTTAATTCATCAGTTATACCCGAGGTGTTTCACATGTGTGAAGTAAAATACTGCCATTGACTGAAACGCAGTCAAAATCTGCTACCTAAGTGAGGTTGTCCAAGACAGATTTGTGTCATGGGTCGAACACCCGAGTAAGACTGGGAACAGCAACAAGAAACAACCTCATTGTTTTGCATGAACAAGGATCGTCCCAGGCAAAGATTTCAAAGCAGACTCAGGTTTCAAGACTTGACGCTTGTTTGAAGAAACAAAGAACCAGCATAGTTGAGGACAGGAGGAGATGCAGTAGTTAGTCAGTCAGCAGAGAGGCAGGTCATGTTTACTGCTCTCCCACATCAGAAGCTGTCTTGTAGTGCCATCATCCTGTGGGACCCAGCAACACCAGTCTACTACTGTGTTCTTTACAGATTACATAGTGAATAGAGCTGCTTGTTTTGTTGCTGTTATTACTCCTTGCCACCAGAGGGCAGTTATATGGCAGCAAACAGCAGAAGAGACTATTGTGAGGACAGTCAGAAGTTGCCGGAATACAGTTCCTGAGTTTAAACCATCATTTTTTATTTTTGCCCACAACATCATTCATGAAAAGTTTCTTCAGAACTGGTCTTTACGGAGTAACTGCTGTCAAGTTGCAGCATTAACGTAAAAAGCCAAGGCAACTACACACAACCCGAGGTGGATATAGGACTAAAATCATGTACTCAACTAAAAGTACAGTTACTCTGTTGAAATTTTATTCAAGTATAAGTAGAGTCACCTGTATAAAAGTCTATTAAAGAAAAAGTAAAAAATAAGTAACTTATAATTAGCTTTGCATTGTTATTTCTTCGACTTTTGGCTGTTCCCTCTTCAGGTGTCTCCACAGCAAGTCATCCTCCTCCATCTCACGCTGTCCTCTGCATCCTCTGTCCTCACCCCAACTACCTCTAACTGCATCCATATGTCTCCTCTTTGTCCTGGCAGCTGCATTTCTAACATCCTTCTACCGATATACCCACTGTCCCTCCTCTGGACATGTCCTAACCACTGTCCCTCCTCTGGACATGTCCTAACCACTGTCCCTCCTCTGGACATGTCCAATCCATCTCAGTGTGTCCTCTCTAACTTTACCTCCCAGTTGTTCAACCTGTGCTGTACCTCTGATGATCTCATTCCTGATCTTCTCCATCCTTGTCACTCATGAGGAGAACCTCAACATCATCATTTCTGACACTTCCAGTTCTGTCTCCTGTCTTTTTGTCCATGTCTCTGTCTCCAGACCATACAACACTGTATGTACAACCACTGTCTTGTAATTCTTTCCTTTGACATTTGCTGCCACCCTTTCTTCACAAATCCACTCCGTCCTGCCTGGACTCTCTTCTTCACCTCTTTATCACACTCCTCATTTGATGCAGTTAGAAAGGACATGGAGGTAGTTGGAGGGAGGACAGGGGATGCAGAGGACAGAGAGACGAAGGAGGATGACTCGCTGTGGAGACCCTTGAAGAGGGAACAGCTGAAAAAGAATAATGCAACAACTAAAAACACCCATAATGCCATACAAAGGTCTTCTCAATACGGTGGCACAAATTCTTGTCTCCATAGATTGTACAGGGACCGTGCCAGTTTATTTTTAGCTCAGTGACGTGGAGCTTGCTCATACTGTATAAAGTTTACAAGAACTGTAAAGAAAAGAAAAGAAAAAGATGAGCAAATAATACTGAATTATTTTTGTGGACAGACGACAAACTGGAGTTTCTACTATGTGTCACAATAAACTACTATGGACTGGGTGTCATGTCAGTCCAAATGAACATATTGGACCATTTTTAGACCCAGCACTCCTTGAGGGATGGTTGTCCAGCACATACTCATGGGGAAAACCAGAATAAACTTCTTAAACACACGTTAGTCCATTAAATTATTCCTATTGCCCTAATTTTAAAATGCATACTTTATATTTTTTGTTGTTTTGGCTACCACAGAATGAGGACTTGGCTATTTTTTCTCACTGGATGCCCATCCTGGTGCAACCTGGGCTTGAACTCTTAACTTCTGGTTTACAAGACCACAGCACAGACCACCGAGCTACCACAGCTACCTGTAAGGTAATCGTAGGCTTTTTTTCTGCCACATTTGTTTTGTTAGTGTCATGAACAGCTTAGTAATATAAAACACAGACGTGATCTGTCATTATTACTGTAACAACAGAACAGACCAGGCGTCACCGCCTTTCTTTTGATGGGAACTGAAGCCAGAAGCCGCAGTTTTACAGAAGCTGCCATGTTGTATATTTGGAGTTAGAGTCTGTTCAGCGTGAATATGAGGCTTTAATTTTGGTAACACTTTACAATAAGGTACACAAAATTTGCTTAAGTACTACAGAACGACTCAGGAACGAATCAGGAACAAATGAGGAGTTAATAGGTAGTTAACCAGTACTTACTGGTGAACACACAGCCAAGCCTTATTAACGGACTACTGGTTAGTTACCTGGGAAACAAAGAAGAACTAATCAGGAACTAATGTGTAGTTAACATGGAGACCAAAGAGAAATGAATCAGGAGCTAATGAGT